AATTATGTCCCCACTGGATGCAACAAATGCCTCGTTTGTAATGGGTTTTCATGTTTTTGTCTCGTCGCTCCGGCCTGACAGGGCATCACAGTATGGTAGGGGCGTAACATTTCCGTCACACGCTTGAGGTATTCGGCCAATCACAACGCACTGGATAGCTGGCCAATCAGAGCACACCTCGCTTTTCAGACCGATGAGCTTTGTAAAAATCAACGTGTTTCAGAAAGGTGGGACATAGAGGAGCAACAATAATGTACAGTACGTGGAAAAGAATGTGTTTTTTTAACCTTAAACCACATAAACACATTTCATTACACCAAATACACAAAATAATGTTCTTTTTAGCAACATCCTATGACCCCTTTAACTGTCCATTAAAATGATCATGTTGAAATGTTGAAATGCACATGTGTGCTGCACACTCACTTGTTGGTGCATTCTGGGAAATCTGATGTCCCTCTCTCTCTTTGTCTCTGTCCGTCTCTCTCTGTCTCTCTGTGTCTCTGTAGCTGAAGACTGTCGACTTCTCTCTCAGATCCCAAAGGTGCGCTGTCTGAGAAATGAGCGCCGAGAAGGTACGTGTGATACGAGGAGTGGAGATACATTCATATACTAACAATAAACATGTTGAATGTTATAATAAATGCATATTGACAGCATATTGTATAATTAATGGAGTTTTGTTTTTGCATTTGCATTTGCAATATTTTAGAAAAAAAGTGGTGATCTGCCATTGTTACCTTAAAGAGCTACCTGATTTATAAAAATCAGTTTGGTTGGTATACATTTAATATATTTAAATATAATATTTTGACATGAGTAATACCAGTTCATTTAGATCTCATTTAGATGCATTTCTGAGTATATAGTGCTAAACTTCCATCAGGAATAATTCACATAAAACTGTAAATTCTGTCAGGACATATTAAAGACTGCAAAGTTTAAATACTCACACTTTTGTTCCAAAGTTTTGGGTCATTGAGATAAAAAAAAAAATACAATTAATTCAGTAACTAAGGATTAAATTGATCAAAAGTGACAGTAAAGATTTCTATTTCAAATAAATGTTGTTCTTTTAAATGTTCTATTCATCAAAGAATCTTGAAAATAAATGTTTCATGGTTTCCACAAAATATATATATATTTGGCAGCACATCTGTTTTCAACATTGATAATAATCAGAAATGTTTCTTGAGCAGCTAATCAGCATATTAATAATTTCTGAAGATAATGTGACACTGAAGACTGGAGTAATGATGCTGAAAATACAGCTTTGATCGCAGCAATCAATTACATTTTAACAGATATTCAAATAGAAACACTTATTTTAAGTTGTAATAACATTTCACATTTTTTAAAGGTGCCATAGAATGGAAAACTGTATTTACCTTGGCATAGTTGAATAATAACAGTTCTGTACATGGAAATGACATACCTTGAGCCTCAAACACCATTGTTTCCTCCTTCTTATGTAAATCTCGTGCATTCAAAAGACCACTGAAAAATAGGCGAATCAGAACATAACACCGACTGTGACTTTACTGTTGGGATCACTAATAGTTACGCCCCCAACATTTGCATATACCGCCCATGTTCTATGCCAGCCGCCAGCCGAATCATCAGAAGTTCTGCAGGTATTGTGAAGAAACAAGCGAGGATAATAGCGAAAATGGCAGATCATGGAAATAAATGTAATGTTCCAGGCTGTGCAGGGGATGTGAAGTGCAGGGATGGGTTGGTGTCTGTATTCAGAAAGGCACGGAAAACAAATAACGTGAGCCACTAAAGGGACATGGAAAAAAGTGAAATCGCAATCAACCACCCCTTTAAGTACTGCCGCTGTAGTTTACACAGATCACGTGCGATCACAAATCTCGAAAGTGAAAGTAAAAAGCTGCATTCGAAAGCAGTTTCAATGCCCCGCATATTAATAGCGGCTCCCTAATGCCCGCGTTTTATATACAGTATAATTACCCAATGATATAACTGCGAGAGAAAGTATTGAAATATATATTTTCCCTGTGTTTCCTTCCTGCTGTGTGAGCTACTGAAATGAGCCGCACTGTGAAACAGCCAATCAGAGCAGAGCTCAGAATTATTATTCATGACCCTTCCAAATAAGGTAAAAACAGACCATTTCATTCTAGGGACAAATCCTAGGGTTGTAAATGGACATGTAAAACCGTTTCTGGAGATTTTTTGCCCTTAAGTAAGCCACATACCTTCTATGTAGATATCAGAGAACAATTTAAAATATTGTATCAATGCATTCTATGGCACCTTTAATCAAATAATTGCAGCCTTAGTGAGCAGAAGAGACTTTTCAAAAACGTTAACATTAAAAAAAAAAGGTTAATTTGATCAGCTTTAGTGCATTAACATACAGATGAAGTGGTATGTTAATGTACTAAAGTCTACCAGACATGGATTTAAATAACACAAAACTCCCATTTAGATTTAATGTGGCCTTTATTAGACGCAACTGACAAACTTCATCTGTGCACTCAATGAATGTATTATTTGGTGTTGTTCTAATTATTTTGGGATGGCGATGTGTTGTGGGTAATGAACATGTGCTGGTGTTGATCAGGTCTGATCCGGTCTCGTGTCAGAGGGGCGTCTGCGGCCTCGGCCTCCATCCTCACCTTCCTGGACAGTCACTGTGAGGTCAACACAGACTGGCTGCAGCCCATGATCCTGAGAGTCAAAGAGGTATCACGACGTGCAAAACACAACCACATTGAACCATTATTAACAACGAAATTCTATCAAAATGCAAAGTGTTCCAATACATAACAGTTTGTTACTTTATTAGGTACAGTATGACAGATGCCTTCCCTTATTTATCTACAGTAACTCAAACATACATACATACATACATACATACATACATATATATAAAATTACAAAATATGTAATTGTTCCAGGGTGATACTTATTTAATAATACTTTATCTAGATCAGAGCTTCTCAATCTGTTGTGACAGAGTAAGACAACAGGGATAAAACAATGCTAAACACCAACAGAAATGAAACTAGAAATGTAATTGTGCATAGTTAGATAATCAAAATAAACAGGCTTTATAAGCTTTTAGATTGCAACAAAAAAAAAAGCACCTCCAATATATATTACCAGTCAGAGGTTTGGAATAATGACCTTTTTTTTTAAATGTTTTTGAAAGAGACTTCTTCTGCTCTGCTTACCCTTTGTTCTCTATTTGAATATCATGTGACACTAAAGACTGGAAATTCAGCTTTGCATCACAGGAATAAATTACATTGATATATTTAACAATATATTAAAATAGAAAACAGTTATATTCAATTGTGATAATATTTCACCGTTTTCCTGTTTTCGCTGTATTTTTGATCAAATAATTGTAGCCTTAGCGAGCATAAGAGATATCTTTATAAAACTTTATACAATAAATTGTAATTATTTCCAACTTTTGACAGGTAGTGTAGTGTATTGTTGACATCGAACATTGTGCATACAATCAAACCCTTTGGTACGAATGAATGTGTCACGTAGTGAAAGTTAGTCCAATTAGTCACAGGCCAATATTTATAGTTTATCATGATGGATTTCTAGGGCATCTAGCCATTTTCCAAACATTTTAAAGACTCTTTTTCTTTCTTTTTTTTTTTTTTGCGTGGGAGCATCAGAAGTACACAGCTGTGTATGAAGACTTAAGAGAAACATTGATCATGTCTGTTTCAGAGCAGCGTTTCTCGACTGCTTTTGCTTCAGGACTCTGGACGTCGAGTGGTGACTCAAACACTTCTACAAGTGTTTACTGTACAAAATGAAACACAAATGTCCTAAATCTAGATTACGCAGAATGCTTGACGTTTTGGAAGATTAAGCATTTCTAATGTCATTTGAATTTTCATTCTCTCACAGCACAAAACACATTGTGGTCATGTTTATTCTCACTGCGTGAACCTGTGTTTATAGTAGTCTAGGTCATATTTCCTTTTTTCACGTTTTATTCACGGTTTTAGAGGATGATGCATGCCATGCAACCTGTCCATGTTACATCTAGCTTGTACCTAGGGACAGATGAATTTGCAGCAGATTATTGTAGAGTTTGATCATATTTTTCACTTGAGATCTCTGCTTTAACATGGTGAGTGCGGAGAGTCAGTAATGAGTCATAAATGGCCTGAGTCCAGTCTGGTTCTTCAGAGGGAGATTTTCCCAGAATCAGAGCGAGAGGAAGGTCGTTTGTCTTCTCACAGCTGCACCATGTAGCCTCTCTCGTCCTAAATCATCAAAAATGATTATCATCATCATCATCTCCTCAACCACTTTTCTGCAGCATAAGAGCTTTATGGAGCCAAGAGCCTAGTATTTCTCAGTATACCTTGTTTGTGCTGCAGGCCGTGATTCTGGATGATTGCTGAAGACATGAGGGTGGACTTTTTCTTTGGTCACATTTTCTTCAGATGTAAATATGAAAGTGTAGTTATATCAAATGTAAAATCAAGGCACTTGAGCATCAGAAAGCAGTTTAGACACTTACTAAAACATGGTGTAAAACCACTATTTTTTATTCAAATATTTGACTACAGTCTGTTTTTAATGTCCATGAATGCTCCTGTTTTTCCATTTTTGACTCAAGGGTCATTAATACTTTTAATACGCATGTCTGAATAATCTGAGCGCTGTAAGAAATCGAATGATACACACTGAAAGAAACACACACGGTCTCTCCTCAAACAACACTTTAATAAAAGAAAACCAGTGTCTGAAACCTGAAAATTTGAATTTTGTCACTTTGAATTTGACATTCTTTTCATGGATCTGTATTTTTGAACAGCAGATGTTTAAAAAGGCCAAATTAGTTGTAAATATTGACATTATCAAGTTACAGCTTCATGTTTTTAAAGGAAGAAGAATTCTGAATGACGTAATATTAGAATTTGAATGATAACCAGTAGTTTCACCCCTAAAAATTCAAACACAAAAATACAAAGTTATTAAATGCACAACAAAAACAAGGTTTGTTATGTCAAAATTTAGATTTACAAAATTCTTTACCTTTTTTCCGTTTTTTTTTTTTTTTCTATTACAATAGCATTATGGAAAGTGTTTTAGAACAGTATGCAGCCATTGTAAATTAAAATATATTATTTTTCAATTTTTACTTTAGATTTTTTTTATTTGCTTAATCTATTTATTAAACTTTTACAATAAGGACAGGATAGAAACCTTTTGATTTTAGATTAAAAAAAAATAATAATAATTTTTTTGTAAGGTTCACTCATCTAGTTTGGACGTGGTACCATGGTAATACTATGTTTGTTTGTTTTTTTATGTGTCATGGTGTCACGAATCCGGTCTATGAACTTCCGTTCACTCACCACCAGAGGTCACCCGCTCATTACATGGACTCTCACACTACACAGACTGTTAACTATACCCTGGACTACATTTCCCATCATCCATTGCACTGATTGCACACAGGTGTAACCAATCACACGCTCATCTGTAGGCTACTAATAACACACTATATAAATCAGTCTCACACTACAATTCAGCACTGAGTATTGTTTGTGTTTATCGCTCTCCTAGTGGTAGCACATTACGGCGCCAGTTTCCTGCCCTAGTTTCTAGTCCTTAGTTCATAGTTCATGCCTGCTTTCCCATGTTACCTGATTATTGCCTGTTTATCTTGGATTAACCCTTTGCCTTTCTCTTTCGGACTGTGTTTGCACCTTGCCTGGATTATTGCTCGTGTTATTGGGTTTCCTTTGCCTTTCTGTTTCGGACTGTGTTTGTACCTCACCTGGCTTATTGCTCGTGTTATTGGACTTCTCCGCTTGTCAAGCCCTCTGGATAATGTTCACTGTCGACTGACTCACGCCTTCCTTTGGATACTCTTTTTGTCTTGCCTGTAATGTACCTGCTTGCCACTGTCTGACCCATGCCTGTTTTATGACCACGTCTCTGTCTAAATAAAGCCTTGCAAATGGATCCTCACGTCTCGTTCGCCCCGTTACACATGGTAATATGATGGTGTTCTTTGAAGTACCACTACCATGTAAATGCCAAGCTGTAATCATTCAGTACCAGTACTATTTGATGCCATCACAGCACCATGGTAAACTCACAGTACTTTTTTTTTTTTTAAGAAAAGAAACTGACAAGCCACAGGCTTCTTCTGAGTGTCCTGATGTCAATCTGCTGTAGGTGGGATGTATTGCAGATGGATTTCTGGGCTTTTCCGCACACACTCGAGCTGTGAGCGCAGAGTTCAGCATGTTTGCATACAGCGCCAGCTCTAATTGAAAACACTTGATTTTCTTATGCAGTTGTAATATGAACTTCCCCGGCACACGTTTTTTTTATGCGACATACGCATGCTTACATGCTCGTAAAATAGTTTTATGTATGCACAAGTATATGCACTGCAGCAAGCGAAAGTAGCAAAGAACACACTAGAGCTCTGCATCAGGCTATGCTGCAAATCCACAGAGCCTTTACACAGTCATATGATGCATTTTTTATTTTTAAAATATTGTATGTGCATTTATAACACTATTACCTTGGCAATAAAATTCAGCTGCTGAGGGAGTGACCATAAATGTGACATCTTTCTCTCTTCTGATTGCCACATTCCTTATCTCTATATTTTTTCCTCTTTTTTTGAGAAAAAATCATTTCATTTATTTAAACAGTTTAGTGTATATTATATGACTGGTTTAGGCTAATCTGTTTGGATGGTTTTTGAGTGGATGAATCTTTCATAATATGAAATAATATGATCTATAAAATGCATTAAGAAAATAGATGAATTTTCATTTCATGCATTTCCTCCGAATTCAACTTAAAGCAGGGTGGTCATGGAGACACACATGGCTTGTGTCCTTCTTTCTGCTGCATTCAGCTGGCCTGAAACACAATAACCACTAAATAAATCAAAGCTTTTTACCCATTGTTCTCCTGCAGGATCATACGCGTGTGGTCAGTCCCATCATTGATGTGATCAGTCTGGATAATTTCGCCTACCTGGCCGCTTCTGCTGACCTGAGAGGAGGTGAGAGATCTCACTGCTTTACCATACAAACTCATCTCTTTTATCTGTCTGTGCACTGTTGGCTTTTCTTCAACAATGTCTTTATTTGCGGAAAAAATACTATAGTTTACAATTATGAATTTGGCAGATGCTTTTATAAAAAGCATCTTATTTTGCATTCAAGGTTTACATTTACATTTTGTTTCAGCTGGGATTGGAGCCCATGACCTTGGTGTTGACCTACTGCTTGAGCTGCATGAAAACATATAATAATATAAAAACATATATTTCAGGATTACAGAATCAAAAAGTCACTAAAGCATAAATGCTTTTTTTACAGGTTTATTTTTTATCAAGATCATTTTTTTTTACAGTTAATAATTTCAATTTAGTATGTAAAATAAATTACACTTCATGGCAGCAATTGTTTTGCATGTTGTTTAAATGATATTATATGTGACCTTTGACCACAAAACCAGTCCTAAGGGTCAATTTTAGGAAATTGAGATTTCATAAATAAGAATTTCTGAATAAATAAGCTTTCCATTGATGTATGGTTTGTTAGGATAGGACAATACTTGGCTGAGATACAATAATTTGAAAATCTGGAAAAATTAGGGTGCAAAAAAAAAAAAAAAATCTAAATATTGAGAAAATCTCCTTTAAAGTTGTCCAAATTAAGTTCTTAGCAATGCATATTACTAATTAAAAATTACATTTTGATATATTTACGGTAGGAAATTTACATAATATCTTCATGGAACTTGATCTTTAATTAATATCCTAATGATTTTTTGTATAATAAAAATGGATAATTTTGACCCATACAATGTATTGTTGGCTATTGCTACAAATATACCCGTGCTACTTATGACTGCTTTTGTGATCCAGGGTCACATATGTACTTTATGGTATCGGCCATCAAAAAAAAAATCAGTCGACCACTAGTCTGATTGCTGACAGATTCAAATTTACTGCATGTGTTGATTCCAGAAGTAACCGCCTCACTTTTTCCCCTCTGACGTCAGGTTTCGACTGGAGTTTACACTTCAAATGGGAGCAGATTCCTATAGAACAGAAAATGGCAAGAAACGACCCAACACAACCAATCAGGTCTCTCTCTCTCTCTCTCTCTCTCTCTCTATCTATCTTCATTAAAGTCTGATGGCAGATTGAAAATCTAAAATCTTATTTAAGCCTATTTAAAGTTTTAGAATCTTGAACACAAAGAAAAAACTTGACAACTAATCAAATGGAAGCAAATTTGTAACAATGAAATACCTACGGATTCAAGCACCCAGAAGCTTTTAGAAAACTAGAAGCATTTTATTACTGTCGTGGTCTCAGACATTTTAAGCCCATAACATGTCCATACCAACCGTTACTGTGGCAGGACTCCTGTGATTGCTGGAGGAATCTTTGTCATGGATAAAGGCTGGTTTAATCACCTGGGCCAGTATGATACTCACATGGACATCTGGGGTGGTGAGAACTTTGGTAAGTGATGTTCAGATGCATGATTTTACTCCTCTGCTCGAGTGTGTTCGAGTGTCAAACATTCAGTGAATGTGAATTCAGTGAATCCAGTGATCATACAGCACTCCTAGAGCTGAATACAGAATAGTGTGTGGATGTCCTCACTAATGAACCCTTTTCACAAGACTGTGACCGCGCATTGCAACAGTCATCAGTATCGTAAATCCTCAAAAGTTTTTTGTATATTTTGATTTTTTTTATTTTTATGTATGTACATTTATAACACTATACTTTGTATTAGTGCTGTCAAACGATCAGGACGATTGAAACAATATTCTGAATGTCTCTGTGTTTACTTTCACACGTGAATGTAATTCTATCTCTGCTGTTTTGATGCTGTAGAGCTGTCGTTCAGAGTGTGGATGTGTGGCGGCAGTCTTGAGATCCTGCCCTGCAGTCGCGTGGGCCACGTCTTCCGGAAACGCCATCCTTATGACTTCCCAGAGGGCAACGCACTCACCTACATCAAGTAAATTGACCTTTACGTAACTTGCAATCATATGTTTTGCATTGCAGTGTATGAATGAATGGCTTGTTATGCTGCAGGAACTCGCGGAGAGCTGCTGAGGTCTGGATGGATGAGTATAAACAGTATTACTACGCCGCAAGACCATCAGCGCAGGGCAAGGCCTTCGGGAGGTCAGACGTCTCTAAAACCTTATGTAGATCTGGTTATGGTGACCTTCAGTACTTCAGTACATCACTTTCTTTCTTCAATGGAACACAAAAGGAGATGTTTAGAAGAATGCTCATACAGCTGCATACACTCTTTAAAATAAAGGTGATTAAAAGGTTCTTCACAGCGATGCCATATAAGAACCATTGGTCCCAGTTTATATTAAGTGGCCTTAACTCATAGGCGGAGCATGTGTAAGGCTGGCGACGGGGACTTGGGGCAAAAATGCCACTAAATTGGACAAAAATTCCCCTGCAAAAACAAATTAAATCTATTACGTCTGTTGCTTACAAAGTGAATATGAATAGACAGTGTCGATTGCGGCATTAAATTAAGATCTGCTCATGTTGCACCGTATTTCATTGTAGGCGTTTTTACAGTGTTGCGCATTTTAACCAATCACACACAATTCTGTTGAGCTTAGGAATGCAATGGCCAATCAGAGGCGTTCAGATGAGTCATCGTTGAAACAGATTTTTGTTGAGTGTTTCACAAGACTGTGACCGCGCATTGCAACGGTCATCAGTATCGTAAATCCTCAAAAGTTTTTTGTATATTTTGATTTTTTTTTTTTTTATGTATGTACATTTATAACAGTATACTTTGTATTAGTGCTGTCAAACGATTAATCTCATCCAAAATAAAAGTTTTTGTTTACATGACATATGTGTATGTACTGTGTATATTTATTATGTATATATACATAGATACACATGCATGTATATATTTAAGAAAAATAAGTTATGTTTATATATTAAATATATGTAAATATAAATTAAATTATATGAATATAAATATATGCATGTAAATACATAGTACACACACATATATTATGTAAACAAAAACTTGTATTCTGGATGCGATTAAGCATTTGACAGCACTAATATATGTGCGAATATACCAACAAGCTGATGATTATTTTAACCAAGAGATAGCTGATGTAAAAATTGTACATTATTTTGTCTAAATAAATTACAAATAAAACACTTAAACCAAAAAGGAGTCCTATTGAATGTTAAAAAGTGAATTTAGGCATTATAGCATTTTAATGCACCCTAGAGCGCGCGCGTTCGCTGACTGAATGCCGGACTCTTGCGAATTCTCTAATCATAAACAACAAAGCGCAGATGGACGTACAATGTAAGAGATTAATTTCACAGTGTATACAGCTTCAGTGATTATAACGATAGTTTTGTTTTTTTGAGAGTGCTTAAACTCACGATAGATCAATGTTAGTGATAATGTCACTTTCTATAATTTATTCGCCGTTTGAATAACCTTGGAAAGGTAACGC